AAGGGGGCACTGGGTCTTGGGCCAAAGCCACTTCCTCGTTGGATGAACTGACTCAGGCTTCTCTCCGGGCTGTCTTTTTTCTCTGACTCAGGAGCTGCAGAGGCAGAAGAAGGTCAGAAGGAGAAGATGAGGCAACAGCTATGGGGGAGAGGAGACTTCCCTGCTTAAAATGGCCTTTGGTCTCATTTCTCCCTAGCGACTGTCACTGGGATCAGGGCAGGGGAAAAGGGTCAGGAGAACTTTAGAAGGAGGAGGTTGGACTCCATGATCTCCAATGTCCCTTCTGGTTCTAAATCCTACAATCCTGTCGTCGTGAGAGAGGGAAGATTTATCCTCACTTCCTCCTGACAGCATTTCATCATCTGGGGGTGACGTAAGAGGCTCTGAAGTCAGGTCCCACAGCTGGGGGAAAGCACTCTTTTCTCCAGCCCATCCCCACCCCCCTCCAATCCGCCTGGGGAGCACTGTCCGCATCTGGAACCGGCAGCTGGGTTCTTCTCTTGATCTGTATCCAGAGCTGGGAGCTGGGTGAAGAGAGAGGCAGCTGGTTGAGGAGCCATCTGAATGACCCCAATGTGTTGGGAGATTTGGGGATGTGGGAGAGTGGGAAAGAGAGGAGGGGGAGGAGTTCAGGCAGCCGGAGCTGGAGAAAGCCTGCAGATCCCAATGATTGCAGGCAAGGATTCCAGTCCAGGGGCTTCCAGGAGACCCTGGACTCCATTTGTCCTTCCAAGATTTCCTCTTTTCACATCTTGTTGCCTGACCTCTTCCTGGGATCCCCCTCCTCCTTTGACGGCTTGTGCTAGCTGTTGCCCGGGCTTTCTCTCATTTCCGACACTTCCCTTGGCTCACTTCCTAAGCCCTAGTCCAGGTATTCATTTCATTTTCTGCATTTGTATCATCATTGCCAGCACTGTGCCTGACAAAGTAGGTACTTATGAAATGCACGTGTATTGGTGTCCTCTCAACTTCAGGGCAGCTTCCTTCCCAAGAGATGCCCCACCTCTTCTTTAGAACAACTTTCACTGAGTCCTACTTAGGATGAAGTGAGGAGTCATCTGTAGGTCATATGGAGTCCTTGGGGGTTGGGTGAAGAGAAGGCAGATCTGGGCTCCAAGAGGATGGAAGAGTAGTTAGGAAGCATTTAGAGGACCAGGATGGATAAGAAGAAAGGAACATGCATATAACATGCATTGCTGGGGGGGAGGGGGAGGGAGGAAAAGGGGGAGAGAGAGAGAGAGAAGAGAGAGAGAGAGAGAGAGAGAAGAAGAGAGAGAGAGAGAGAGAGAGAAGAAGAAGAAGAAGAAGAAGAAGAAGAAGAAGGAGGAGGAGGAGGAGGAGGAGGAGGAGGAGGAGGAGGAGGAGAGAAAGAGATAGAGGAAACAGAGAAGAGGAAAGGAGAGAGAAGAGGTGCCTTTAAGTTAGACTAGAAAGAACTTATTGGATGGAAACTCTCCTCCTGCCTCATTTTTGTGCTCTATTTCCCTATATGTGGGTGTCCCCTCCTATTCTCTCTCACAGAGTGGTCTCATTCCCTCCTCTGGCTTCAGTTTTCACTTCTATGTGGATGGTTCATCAGATCTATATGCACAGCCCTATTTTCTCCCCTGAGCTCAAGCCCCCTCCCCCATTGTCTATCAACTAAACATCTCTACCTGGATATCCTTTTTGCACCTCATAGACAATACATCTCAAATTGGATTCAAAGGCAGCTGTGAGGTACACTAACATAGAGCCCCTCCCCACCAGGGCTGGACACTGGAAGACCTGAGTTCAGATTCAGATTTAGACACTTAATAGCTATGTGACCCTGGGCAAAGCACTTAATCTGAGTTCCCTCATCTGTAAAATCTAGATAACAGCATCTACCTCCCAAGACTGTTAGGATCAAATGAGACAATAATTGTAAATACAATTTTGCAAACACAATTCTTGACACATAGTAAATGCTACATAAATGTTAGCTATTATCATTCATTCTCTTTTCTCCCTAAACCTGCCTTTCCTCCCAACTGGTCTATTTCTGTTTATGGCACCTCCTTCCTCTCAGGTACCTGGAAGTACCAGAGTACCCAGATACCCAGGTACCAGAGTCAAAGATGATTGTCCCTCATTTTCCACATCCATTCAGTTGCCAAGTCATGTCGATTCTGTTTCTTCTGTATTTTTTTCTACCAGTCCCTTCCTTTGTATTTCTCCTATTTTAGGTCCACATTACTATTCATAGAGAGTATTATAATGGCCTCCCAATTGATTAACATGCCTCCAGTCTTTCTTCTCTCACTTCACCAACTAGCAAAATCATCTTTTAAAGGTAGAAGTCTCACCATGTGTTGCCCTTCTCAAAAACCAGCACAAAAATTTTTTTTAATTTTAAAAAACCATCAGCCTCTCCCAGTTCCTTCTATGATGAAGTACAAATTCCTAAGCCTAGCAATCCAGATCTTCAATAATCAGTTGCCAACTTGCCTTTCTGACATTATCCTCCCTCCTTTCACAGTCTCTTATGTTCTGGCCAAACTGATCACTATTGGTCAGGTCCTGCCTCTTAGACCTCCTTGTGCTGGCATGAACTGACCTCTATAGAATACCTCCACAAATCTCTTCCTCATCTCCATCTATCAGAATCCTTTTCTTCCTTAGGTCCTGCCTCCTCAATGAAGCCTTTCCTGATTCCTCCCAGCTGGAAGTAGTTTCTCATTTCTCAGATCAGTTTTGTTTTGTTTTGCTGGCAAGACAAGATTTCTTTTGGGATTGGGAATTCCAGGTTAGGGTCCTTCTACTAATGTGCCTCTGTTCTTAGAAAGTTCCCTGGGGCCCAGAGAGGCTAAGTGATTTGCCCAGTAGCACACTGCCATTGTAAATCAGATGTAGGACTTGTAGCCAGATCTTCCTGATTCTCCAGCTCTTTCCCTACTCTTCCATCATAGGATGATATTTTATTTAGAGCTGAAAGAACTGTCATCTATTCCAACCCTTCTTATTTTGCAGATGAGAAGAGGTTAAGCGATTTGTTCAATGTCATTTTAGTAGTAATAGACAAGGTCAGAATTCAAACTCAGATCCTCTAATTCGGGGCAGCTAGGTGGCATAGTAGTGCACAGGGCACTGGGCCTGGAGTCAGGAAGATTCATCTTCCTGAGTTCAAATCTGACCTGACATTTACTAGCTATGTGACCCTGGGCAAGTCACGTCACTGTTTGCCTCAGTTTCCTCATCTATAAAATGAGCTGGAGAAGAAAACAGCAAACCACCCCTGCATCTTTGCCAAGAAAACCCCAAAGGAAGTCACGAAGAGTTGGAAACAACTGAACAAAATCTCTCATTTAGAATGGAGCTCTTTTTCATAGCAACACATTGATTGCCTCTTCATATTTCCAGAGGACTCCATCTAGATCTCTCCTTTGCCCTATTTAACTTTCAGATAGCTGATTGTTTTTTCCCTCTTTTTAGAGGACAGAGACTGAATTTTTTTCTCTTTATATCGCCAGCACTTACACAGTGCCTTGCACCTAGTAGACGAATAAATATTTGTTGAATTCCCCTAAATCAAGGTTGTTGCCCACTGGAATGAGTGAGAGAGGTCATGAAATTGCCTTGGGGAGGGAAAGGAGGTGGATTATGCTTTAAGTGTGATTAGGTTCATTTGTCTAAGGCTGGGGAGAACTTTAGAACTGGGAGTCAGGAAACTCCTGGCTCTACCTCTGAGTCAATAAGCATTTATTAAATTGACTATCATTCGCCAGGCACCAGGGATGCAAAAAGAGGCAAAACAATCCCTCACAATTTCATCCAGTGGACAACAGGCAGATAAATATTTCCTATTCTTTCACCTAAGACAGATTCTGCCTCTATGCTTAACCTAGCCATGTGACCTTGGGCAAGTCACTTGGCCTACAATTTCAGAAGATTTTTGTCATGTGTAGAGTAAGGAACAGGGTTAGATCATCTTCAAGGTCACATCCAATTACGGGTATGCTGGAACCAGCTTGAATTGGCTGAGGAATTTTCACTGTGAACATTTCCACCTCAGAAATCTGCAAATGCTGTAACAGATCCCGGGTTGGTTAATTGACAGTGCTGGTGAACACGAGAATAATGCGGATTAAATTTAACTGTGTCTCTGTGTACTCTCCCAACCCACCCGACCCGCTTCGTAGAGACTTTTACAGATGCCTCCAGATTCCTTCTATTCTCCTGGAAGACCCAGGGGAAATCCCTTGTTGTCTCCAGGGTTAGATTGTAAACTCCCTAAGGGCAGGAATTGTTTTTATCTGCCTTATTTCCCTCCCCCAGGCAACTTCAGGACATCTCTCTCTTTCCAGTGGACATTCAGCAGCCCGAATTTAGTGGAATTCAACAAATACGAATTAAGCTAAATGCAAGGCACTGTGTAGGCACAAGACACAACAGAGATTTAAAAAAAATAGTAACTCAGTCTCTGTCCTCGAAGAGAGGAGGGGAGAGAGAGCCGGGAAACTAGCTTAGACCAGTGCCTGGCACCGGTAGGCGCTTCATATATGTTTGTGGATTAGATTGATCTAGCCTCAGTTTCCTCCTCCGTGCAATGGAGCTAATAATACTGCCCCCATACCCCACCCCGCTGAGTGGTGGTAGAGAAATGTGACCAGGGTTATTAACGAGTGCCACTCGGAGAAAGGATAAATAACCCCTACGGGAGAGGCTGGGAGGGGGAGAGGGGGAGGCCACCCCAGAAAGACTGGAAGGGTGGAAGAAAGCCAAGAGGTCCCTTTAAAGGAGGAGGCCCCGCCCTTTCTGTTCTCCTCGGCGTCTGACTGGTCCACGCCGGGCAGGGGGCGGGGCCAGTCTCGGTCTCTGCGGAGGGTGTGGGGGCGGGGTCTCCAGCCCGCCCGGCCCCCGCCCCCTTTGTTCCCGCTGCCGCTGGAGGTGGCTGGAGAAGGGTGGTAGGTGTGCTCGGGGCTTGGGGGTGTGTGAGAGGGTGTGAGTGAGTGTGTGATCTGTGTGAGTGTGTGCGCGGGTGCGGGTGTGAGCGCGCTCGGGAGGGGGAGTGGATGGAGCTGGTCAGTTTCGGCCTCAGCTGTCAGGTCAATTTCACAGCAGAACCTCAGGGCCCCGGCCACATGGAGGGCGCACGGGCGAGCTGGGAGCTCTGGGGTTGTGCTGCCGGCTCCCCATGAGCCCCGCCGAAGCCGCCGCCGCCGCCGCCGCCTCGGGGAGCATGTCACCTCCAGCTGCAGTCACAGCCGCCGCCGCAGCCGCAGCAGCAGCCGCCGCAGCAGCCGCAGCGCACGACTCCAGTGCCAGCGCCGCCGCCTCCTCTTCCTCCTGCATCCTCAGGCACTGGCTCTCTGACTCGATCCCCTGATCCATGCCAGAGGTCTGTGGAGATCTGGGACAGCCATGGCAAGCCAGGGTGACTGCTGCGTCAAGGTGGCGGTCAGGTAAGAGGCGAGGGAGGGGGCGCGCGGGGGAAGAAGAAGGGTGTGTGTGTGTGTGTGTGTGTGTGTGTGTGTGTGTGTGTGTGTGTGTGTGTGTGTTTGTGTGTGTGCGTGTGTGGCTGTGTGTATGGCTGCGTGTGTGGCTGTGTGTGGGGAGGGGACGGCGGGAGTGCGGCTCCTCTGCGCAGCTTTGTTTCAGGTGGGGAGCCTGGACCACCCTACCCCACCCCCAACCCCAGTTGCACATTCTCTCTGAGTTCTGCAGCACGGGGATCCATGAATGACCTGAGACTTCAGGTCTGATATGTGTGGGGTCCCCAGGAGAGCGACTTGAGGGTGGCTTTGTTTGGGAGATAATATCCACCTCTTCTCCTGGGAGCCTTTAATGAACAGAAAATCGAATAAACAAGGAAATCCGGTATTTCACACCCAACCCTGGCCCAAGCCAGGGCATCTGTGTGTTTCCTCTTCACCGCCCCTGTCTCATTAGGGATTATTATTATTATTTTAAGATTTTTTTTCAAATCAACAAATTCCAGGCTCTTGCCAATCAAAAACTGCAGCTCTTGCTGCTGCTGGACAGTGATTCCCACCCCACCCCACCACCCTAGCCCACTGCTGCACAGCTTCTCCAAACAAAGATCCCTTTTCCTGATTGGTGCTGTCTCCTTGGATGGGGTGAAGGGAGAGAGGGAGGCTGGTTTGGTTTCTAATTGGGATGGCCCATTAGAGGGGATCCAGGTCCCCACAGAAGACACCTGAGCTCAGATCATTGTTTTCTAAGCTGGGAGGAGGTCAGACTGACAGTTTTCATCTCTCCCAATCTTTGGGTCTGTTTCAGTATTTGGGGGGGAAGGGGCAGCCACCTGGGGATCCATTTTGTATGGATGGTATAAGGTAAAATGTTGACAGATTGGGGTGGGAGTAGAGAGGAAATAGCAATGGGGGCTTGTCTTGGAGGGGAAGGGTGTACACATCTCCCTTTCTCTGAGGTGAAAGCAGGAAATGCTGCAAAGTTGAACCATCTGAGAGGCCTTTGTACTGCTCCCTGATGGGGTAGTAAGGGTTTGTCTGACCTTTCTTCTCTGTCCCGCCTTTTTTTTCCTTGTCAAATCTGTCTGTTGATGGGATTACAGGTATTTCCACTAGAGGTTGGAAAGACCAGAGGCCTGGCAGAGACAATACTATATTTTATATTTCTACCCCTCTTCCCCTGCATCCCTTCCCAACCTGGGTTAGGGTATAATTGGCCAAGCAGCCTGCTTTGTGTACTTGGAATAGCAGTATCACAAGGTCTCTCATGAGTCTCTACCCTCCTGGTGAAGGATATGACAGCGTCCCTAGGACCCTAACTGGCTACCTCCAGACAGAGCTAGAGCTGTATAGTATGAACAGCCTCCTTGCTGCCCACCACACCCCACCCCACCCCCAAGTGTGATGGGTACCTGACTTGACAGGCAACACTGACTACTGGGATGAAAATGACAGCTAAAGGGTTGCTGAGGGCAGAGAGAATAAAGATTGACTCTAAGCTTAACCACCTCTGGGCTCCATGCCTATCTGAGCATCACTTACACAGAGCTTTCCTGACCCAGGCACAGGGCTGTGTTAGACAAAGAACAGCACTGCAGGTGCCTCTCCACACACACACACACACACACACACACACACACACACACACACACACACACACCCCTCTGTTCGATGGGGTGGGGGTGAGGGGGTTGGGGTTGTGCTGCCTGGTGACTGCTCTTGCAGCCATAGCAATACTGAAAGGAGGTCAAAGGGGGGCAGGTCCACCAGGGAGAATAGGAAGTATAAATACAGCATCTGGAGTGGGCTAGAGGCAGAGAGAGAAACCACCATAAAAGGAAAATGAGGCCCAGGCCCCTGCTTGGCCCCCTTCCCCTGAGGTCTTCCAACCCCCCCACCCCCCATTATGAGCTCAAGGGTTCTGAGAAGAAGAGGATCTGTGAGAAGAGAGAAACCAGGGGGTGAGCTCAATCCTTATAAGCCTTTCCCTTAGGTACCACTTGGAAGGGAGACCCTCAACAAAGCTTCCTCTTCCCCTCCCCACCTCCACTCAAGCTTTCTTTTTTCAAGGGGAAGGCTGAGCTCATTTGGGGTTGTCTCTCATCTTGGAGAGGGAAGAGGATCATCCCTACCTTGGAGTGAATAGGACAGGCTGGGGAAGAGACCCCACCCAGTCCCAGCTGAAGGTGGAGCATGAAATGAGTGAGGGGGAATAGGGAGGGGCTCTGTCACACGTTAGGTATTGTGTATATAAGGACCAAGCACCCCTGCTCCCTTCTAAGCAGCTGGTCCCTAGCTGGATGGGGAACTGCTGATCTGGAGGAAAGGAACATTCAACCTAAGGGTATGGGATAAGAGGGCATGCAGAAAGATGTATAGGGCCCCCTTTTCTTGCTCTCTTCTACACTTCAGAACACACTGGAACCTGAATAGGCAGCCAGCCATGGAAGGCAGAAACTGCCCAGAGCCCAGTTTCTAATCCAAGATCTGAGAAGGGCTGGGGTTGGCGGGGGCTGGGACTGGGAGAGGGGGGAGCAAATGGCTCCATGGGGGACAGAAGACTGACAGTTTCTTTGACCTCCTTCCCTGACAAATTGAAACTCAATACAGGAAAATCAGAATTGCTGAGTTGTCATAGCCCACCTGGGTTCATCTTGGCTATGATCCTGCCTCTTTAAGAAGACCAGACAGATTGGGGACAGGGGTTAGGATGGGGAAGGTTGAAGTCTCTCAGAGGGGAATCAGACATCCAGTCATCCCTTTTTATGTTTTCCCTTTATGTTCTGCAAGTCCTTCCTTATATCTAAATAAAATGCTGTGTGACCCTCCAGGGACCCTGGAGCTCGGATCTGGGAATGGAGAAGCTAGGGATCAGCCAGATCTGGTTTGGCATGTGGCTCTGAGGGTGGTAAGTGGGGGGAAACAAACAGATGGAGAGGTACTAAATGGTACTCTTGGCCCAGCATTGGCCTGTGATGAGGAAGATCAAAGCTGGGTTATTTGCTCGATGCCACAGTGAATGGGAGGAGGAATAGTAATGGGGGGTGGGGGGGAGAGCAGGTAGAAGGAGTGAGGGGGGAGAGGAGAGAAGAAAGCTTCCTGGGCTGGGAGAGGGCATGACGTGGTCTGAGCTGTCCTCAGAACCCAGGAAGGGCCTGGTTCTTAGAACAACAGCTGCAGGACCCCCCCTCCCTCTCTCTGTCTTTGCTCCTCCCTTCTTCCCCACACCCACAGATAACCAGACCACCTCCCCCAGTTGGCAGGGCCCAGCCTAATCTAGCTGACTGGCTGTAGTGAGGGGAAGGGAGGTGGAATAACTAGCAGTCCTTGGGCAGAGTTCTGAGGAGAGGCCCTGAACCCAGCTGGGGTCAGAGCAGGATCATGGTACAGAAACCCTAAGTCCCTTCTGTGGCCCCGGCCTGCGTGGCCTGGGATCATCCCTTTAGCCTGTAATCTCTTCATAGCACAAGGGCCCAAGCTGCCTTGGTATTGCTGGTCTTTTGGAGAGGGAACTTTACCCATGGGGGTGGTGGAGAGGAAGGCCAGGGTGACCATGTGAGAACAGGATGCCATCGGGGCCCCCAGGCCTCAGAGAAAGCAGGCCCAGCAAAGAGAGATAGGCAGACAGGAGACTCGCTCTTAGGAAGCTCTGTTAGAAGTCTGAAATTAGGGAAGGAAGCCGAGTCACATGGTGAGTTTATTTAAGCCCCTTCTAAGCCCCAGGCCTCCTTGTAAACACCCCCACTGAGAAGGGGCCCCTGCCCCTACTTTCTCCTCTGAGCCTCTGTTGTCATTGTTCACATTTCCCTGAGCTTCCTTTCTATGCCCTGGAGAGCCTCCTCAGAAGCCATCCCCTCATTTTACAAATGAGGAAACTGAGGCCCATAGAAGTTAAGTGATTTGTCAGGGTCACACAGCCAGTAAGTATCCAAAGCAACATTTGAACGTAAGTCTTCCTGACTCCATGTCCAATGAGCTAGCCACTACTAGTCTCTGTGTATGGGGGGAGAAAGGGGGGAAGCACTGGGTTTGGAGCCAGAAAACTTTGGGTTCAAGTCCGGGCCCTATCACTTACAATCCCCGTGACCTTGGAAAGCCAGTAAGTTTAGAGCTACTGGGTGAGGGACAGAGAAGATGCCCATAGAAGCTGCACAGATTGGAGCAGAGGTGCATATCAACATCTACCTCCCTCCCCTCCAAGGTTCCATTTTTGAGCTGCAGGAAGGAGAGTAACTGAGGCCAGTTCACTCATCAAACAATAGTTAAGCCCTTATAATGTGTCAGGTACTGAGGCCATAAAGACATAAGCCCTGCCCTCAGGGAGCTGGCATTCTCCTAGGAAGGACAGATACAAATATTCCCCCAGTGTAATGGGACTTCTGGAAGGAAGATGCAGGAACAACCAAATGTGAGCCCCAGAAGGAACCCCTAAGCCCAGGAGCTGGTCCTCCCACAAGGTTCTCCAGTGAGACTTTGAGCTCCACGAGGGTGGGGACTGTTTTTGTCTTTCATTGTATCCCCAGCCCTTAGCACCGTGCCTGGCACATGGTAAAGCCCTTAATAAATGAATGTTGACTGACTGATTGTCAGTGAGGCCAGGCTTCTATCTGGAGGAGGAAGTAAACTGTAGTAACCACATTACCCCGGAAACCTCTCTGACTGAAAGGCCCAGCTCTGCCCTGAACTTTCCTGCTTCTGATTGGATCTGAGCATTTGAAAACAGCAGCATTAGGTGGAGTCAAGGGCTGCTTGAAACTCAGCTTCTAGTTTGCTCTGCTAGGATAGGGACGGGTGATCCCACCAGTGGGAGAAGCCAACACCTCAGCTAGTAGCTTCTCCAGGCTGCCTTCCTCACCTACAAATCATCTCTTGGGATCTGGATTCAATACCATCCGCCTCTTATGTTCTATACTGTTGTTGTTTGTCCTTCATTCTCAAAGAGGACCGTGACATCAGGGAGGTGATGCTGT